AAAGAAGCTGATCCATTTTTAAATATCAGAGTTAAAAAATTCAAAGGAGTAACTAGTAAAATTAGTGAAATGTGGTTTCTATCATTTTTCTTTTTCTTTTAAGGAATCTAGGAGCAATCTGTATAGAAGAACATTCTATATATTTTCCTAATAAAGTTGAAATTGTCATCTATAATATAAAATACTACACTGATCCAGTTTGGCTATAGTTTTTATGATCTGGCATGTCAATTCCAGTTGAACTATAGTGACATGAGGTTAATTTCCTAACATTGAAGGTTAAAGTTTACCTCAAAGAGGTTTTTTAAAAAAGGAGAAATATTCTATGCAGCCAGTTTAATTTAAGGTTGTTGTATTATTTGCATAATGGTCAAAACTTGAGTTTATTCATTTTAATGTGTACCTTGAAAACCTTTGAGATTCCCGAGAAGCTTGAGTAGGTCTCCCTTCTCTTCAGTTTTTTTTACAGATTATTGCATAATAACTGAAGGTTTTTAATCATAGCATTTACAATCCATACAGAATCACAGCCACATCTTCTACTGTAACTGATAAGCATTTCTATGACACATATTCATGCTCTATTCTTTTGGGGGGGTGCGCGCGCACACATACACACATACACACGCGCATGTTATATATACATATCCTACATCAATACAGAATTTTTCTCCCTTTACATCTGGAAAACTGAAAATTACTCCCGACTCATCAACTGCAGGTTTTATAACATTTATCTAATTTTTTATCTATTCATCTTGTTCCTATCTAGGAATTTTCAAACAGTGAATATATTGCATAAAATCAAAGATGACTTTCCATTAAAAATAGAATTTTCATTTTTTAAGAGTTATCCTTGCTTAATATCAATTAGAAAAACTGAAAAGCAAAGCTCTTAAATAGCTCCATTGCTAAACACAGAACTTTTAAGCTGCAGGTTATAGTTAGATTTCATTTCACACTTAAGTCATTAGTACAACAGGTGTGCATAGGTGTGTGCCCTTCTGTCAGCAATCTTGTTATGGAGTAGATTAACAAATAATTGAATGAAATTGTAGAGGTATAAATATAATCACCTTCTTGCTATGTAAATACTACCTGCTGCAGTTATTAACTCCTTTTAGATGAACTCATTACAATTTTTGTGATTGCAATTTGCATTTTTTAAGTTTATCTGGAGAAATTTCTTCTATCAGTTACCATTTATAGTCTAGGTTTTTCACAAAATATCAAAGCTGCAGAGCATTACAATTTAATAAAAACAAGCACTGTTTTCCAACTTTATGTAATTAATTATGCTCAAGTGCAGTATTTGGTTCCAGAAGTTAGGTTTTTAAACCTGAAATCATTTATTCTAAATGGCAATATTCTTTGTTAATATTTTAAAAATTAAAAATGGGACAAACTTTATAAATGTAAATTGAGTGCCAATTGTTTGCAGAATATTGGGAAAAATACCAAATTCCTTTTCTGTTCAAGGAAATTAAATTTCAAAAAATGCAGTTTTGGACTCACCATGCCTTTGCTTTATTAATGCCTCTTGAACATAAACTCTTAGTAAAAAATCACCCTTATAAGGACAAGGATGAAGAAAGGTTGAAATCTCAACACAGTAAGGATATAAGAATAGCCGATACAAATTTATAAATGCAGAAAATTTAATATGAACTACTGGATGCTTCCATAAGGACACCAAAAAGAAAAAAAGCATAAACAAGGAACATGATTACCTCAAATTACACTGGCTCATGACTCTTTCTATATGTTAACATGAAAAAAAAATTCAAGCATACCTTAAGCATACCAAATCACTCAGATTTGGTCAGATTCTTGCATCCTTGATTTTCTTGTAGATCCAATCCAAATGCTACGAAGTTTATAACTGTACTTCTCTCAAGTCTTTTCTCTCCTCACTTTAAATGTAACCTCAACAGATTAAGCTACTGCTGTCCCAACCCACGCTATTTATGAGTGCCGCATCCTTCTATCTTGGTTTTTATGCACTTGTGTTTTTATCAGTTGTCAAGGAAACACCAGATTTCTACTACTGCAGCTCTATGTTTAGATCAGTTATGGTAAAGACAATATTATCTTGAAATGTAGAGGTAACTCATCTAATTGCCCAATAGCCTTGAGATCACAATTTGTTGCTAACATTGAAGCATCCAGCTTTTTACAAAAAATGTTTTTGTTATTAGATGTTTAAATTTACAGAAAAGATAATTTTAACCTATATATTGTATTTATATATAAGTGTTTTTATTCCTGATAAATGAATAACTTGTAACTGCTCATATCCTCCATGGCAGCCATTTTGTGAAAATTACAAGGATATTTTGGCAATATTCCAAATATTTTTACCAGCCCCAAAAGACTTCTAAATTTGGGCTTCACTTGAAAAACCAAGCTGTCCAATCCTATCCACCACTACCACCAAACAGCATTTACTTTTTAAAGTTTTGTCATATGCCTGTCAACGTCTGCTCACATGCTAACCAAACAAAGAGAAATAGGGAAAAAAAATAACTCCCTAACTGTAGCATTATTGCAAAAATTATGGATAAAAAATTCAATGAGCCTTAAACAGAGCAATTAACCATGAGTAAACAATGACCCATTGTGCCGAGCCTTTTACTAGTAGAAAATATAGACAAGCAATAAGCTTTTAAAAAGCTAATTGCAAGAGGAACAATTGAAAGAAGTTACTTTGTTACTTCACAGATTAAACAAACAAAACATATAATCCTGGATTCTATTTCTAAAATCTCTAAAAAGGTCCAGAAACAAAATATACTCTACCTAAATTTGGAAACTGTGTATTTTTTTGTTGCATGTTACTTTTATAAGTAATATATTGAGGTAGTAGATTCAATAGATTTGGCAGTCATTTTAGCCGACTGTGCTATTTACAAGGTACAGAAGATATTGAAGATCTAACAGTCTGTACTCTTTAACAAATGTCATGAGAACTAACCTAGAACTAAAGAGAACTTTCCTGACAGTTAAGATTACACTGATTAATTGTATCAGGGGAATGGCTTGTCTCCAGAAGTTGGGGGTGGTCCAAAAGTACAGGTTTTTAAGGAGAGATTGGACAACCATTTGTCTGAAACAGCATAGGGCATGGTTGTCAAACTTGCAACGTCACAGTGTCACATGACATATTGACTTTTTTCCCTTCACTAAACCATTCACTAAACCACTAAAGCATGGCCAGTGCATGACTCATCTGGTCTGTGGGCCATGAGTTTGGCAGCCCTGATATAAGGTCTCCTGCTTGAGACCCCCGAGGTCATTTCCAACTCAGTTATTCTATTATTTACTGCAAAACTGAGGAATTATGACTGAATGCACTTTCTTACACAGCATAAAGTGTTATGTTTCCTTGTGCACTCAGCTGTATAATGAAACAAGAACTGATTCTTTTCTAGTAACTCTCCATATGTCAGCCAGCTGCATTTTGTACAACAAAGCTGTTCTATACTTTACATGCTAAATATACTTAAAGGACAATCAATATAAGCTTCTGAGGGCATAACTGTTTCAATGCAGCTACTTGGAAGAACTTATATGATTCACCCCCCCACCCCATGGGTTATTCATGTCAGTTAAACTATTATGAGTATATTCAGATATTTTTGTTTACTCAGTCAAATCCATTACAAGAAGTTGTGGTTATGATTACTAATTTACATACCTAAGAGAAGGATCACACAAACATAGCAGTAGATTATGTTTAATTTGTTGTCAACAGCTGTTTCAAAATAGTCCATGGGACAACTACACAAAGGAAATATGAAGAAGTTAGTCTAAATCAACAACTAAATCAATAACTCCTTACACTGGAAATCAATCACAATTTCTTTGATCTTCAAATAGTGACTTAACATATTTTAAATATTTTATTTCCCAATGTCCTTTGAATGAGTTCTAAATTTGCAAAAGTACAGTATTTTCCTGGAAACAGGTATCACAGAAATCAGTGGAATTCACTTTTGAGTAGACACATACAAAAATAAGCATATTTCATTTTTTAATTGATCTTATACAAATATACAGTATTCCCATAACCTTGCACACAAAACAATTTTGAAATGGCTTACAGATAAATAACAAACATAAGCTACCACCATTTTTAAAGACAAAAAATAAAAATATTAAAAATCTGTGGTAGATTTTAAAAAAACATTTTGAAGTAAATATAAAGCTTGGTTCCTTCTGTTTTTAAAGGCATGTCATATTCTGGTTTTCTTGGCTGCAATTCAAAAATTGTACACTATTGCCTTCTTTTGTAATATTTTCCACATATTTAGAGCCTAGGATTTATTTCGTAGTGGTCTCTCATTCAACATTAATCAGGTCTCATGTCATCGGTGCCTACCCCCTTAAAAATTAGTTTCTAAAAGTGCATCCTGAATCTGTACTATCAACATTCCTAACCAAAACAACAGTAAAAAGGTAAATTATAAAATAAAATTTGTAAGAAAATCTCAACATTTTCAACTCTCGTCATTTATTCAGACCAAATGTCAAAGTCTGCATTCATACAGCAGGCTTATTATAATATACCTTTGGTTCTTAGTCCCTACACAACCCGCCTATATGCTTAGGCCCCTCCTATCTCAGTCAGGTCAGTACCATTCCAAAGTTTATCGGGGGGGTGGGGAGTGAACAAAACATCCCTTAACGGGAGCGAATATCTAAAAGCAGTTCGTACGGCTTCAGAAATATCAAATATTCTCAACTCTACCTGCACTTATCGAATAACGAAACTTAGACCAAGAAAATCACTATTCTTCCTTTCCCTCCGCCCCCCAAGGTAGAGACATCACGGCCCACTGTGAGGTGAGGAAGCGTCACGGTCCAAAATTCGCCTTTTAAGCTTCAAAGGCAGCCAAGATGGCGGCGGGCGATTGAGCGCCAATACCCTCTCAGCGCCTGCGCGGAGGATCCGCCGGCGCGTGGCGCCACCGCGCCTTTAAAACTTTTATTCCCCTTATGACCGCTTTCTACCCACCACGGCGTGGAATGAACAGCCATGCCGTTGGCCGTGAGAGGTCAGAGAGCTGTGGCCCTGCTGCACTTCCTCTGCTTCCTCTGGGCGACCTTCGCCCTGACTCAAAATTTGGGGTTGCCCAAGCCGGTCCGGAAAGTGCACGACGACAGTTATGGCGGCCAATGGAAATATCTGACCTTCCTCAACCAGGTGGGCACGCGAAACGACAAGCGTTGTTGCGCTTGCCCAAATCAGTCTTAGCCCCTTCGCACGTGGCGGAGGAGGGGTTTTGGGTAGGATGAGCCAATGAGAGCGAAGCTAGGCGGGATGAGAGGGGAGTGAGCTTACCTTAAACGAAAGGGTCAGTTTAGTACACTTTGGGGTTGTAATGGAGATAGTTCCTTCATAAATGTGATTAGAGTTGGGCTACAAAATTCCCAGCCCACGGCCGTTCTGGCTGGGGATTCTGGAAAGTGCAGTCCAGAACATGTGGAAAGTTAACAGGCAGAGCAAAGAGTCTCTTAACAGATAATCAGAGTTGGAAAGGACCTTGTAGGTCATCTAGTCCAACCCCCTCCCCAAGCAGGAGACTCTACACCATTTCTGACAGATGGGAGTCCAGTCTCTTCTTGAAAGTCTCAAGTGATGGAGACTCTTAAATCAGTCTTCCCCGACCTGGTGTCCTCAGAAATAGGGAAAGGAAAACTAGTCCCAACACAAGCCTGAATTTTAGCAGCCAAATTTTGCCAGCTGTGGTTTTTAGCAATACTGAGTGATGAGTGGAATAAAAACTCAAGTTGGATTCATTTCAGTTGCACTTATAAGTAAGCATCTGGGTTTACTTGTATGTGTAATATTGTATGATTATTTAATTGATGTTTTGCAGGAACTGGTTTTTAGCAATATTGAATGATGTGATGTGGAATAAATACTCGGGTTGGATTCATTTGTATTACACTTATAAGTAAGCATTTGAGTTTACTTGTATGTATAATGTATTGATTCTTTAATTCATTGATTAAAATGTCTGGACGGTGTTTTAGGTCAATAAAATCCCACACCACTAGACTAACAAATAGTTTCTTTCCCTTATTATTATGTTCTCCTTATCCTTATGGCTCCTTATCTCTTTCTACTGCTAAAATCAGCCTGTCAGAATAACCATTGGGATCTTAGCTCAACTTGCCTGTATGTAAAAACCTGTTGCATTGCATTTCCACAAAAGTCTCTGCAGGATTTTCAAACCATGATGGGTACCTATGTCTCCCTTTGTGGCTAGATCAGTTGTAAAGCAATTATTTCTCTAATATGGATCCTCTGCTAAATGCTCAGATCGTCTTTGATCAACATAAAAACTAGGTAAACTTATGGCTTTTTTATGGTGATTCTGGGTACAAGAGACCAGAGACATATTGGAACCTGCTAGCTTGCAAGGATAAATTGTTGATCCCCTTCAATTGTTGCTGAGTTACTTTTGCCACCACATTGGAAATTCTACCAACTGCAATCCCAAAACATCAGCAAAGCACTAGGTGAAGAGTAATTGATTTAAATGTAGATTCAGAGTTCTCACTTTTTAAGTCTTTTCAAATACCTGATATAGTGTACTGAAGAAATCTTGATTAAGGGACTTAATAGAAGAGATAAATATAATAGAAGAGATAAAAATATCCCAAGTCATAGCTTTTAACTTTAAATTTTATTCTTGGATTATAAATAATAGAAAAAATGTATGCTTCACTTTGAATATAACTTCTTTGAATTCATAGCTTTTTCAGACATTGCTGTACTTATTGTGTGTCACAATTGATGCTGTAGCTCTGTTTGTCCCTTCCCAAGAAAAGAAAGTGTCATCTATAGTGCTGCCTATTAGAGATTTCATCTTCTCTGCATATGTATTCCCTGTTGGCTTAGTAAGTAATTATAATATCTGTTATTATTTAAATAATTCCATGCTGTACTTTAAGTGCATTAAATTGAGTCAGATTTACTTAAAGCAGAGGTGGGGGATGATGACCCCTTTATGACTTGTGGACTTCAAGTCCCAGAATTCCTGAGCACAGAATTTTGGGGAGTTGAAATCCATAAGTCATAAAAGGACCATCGTTCCACACCCGAGCTTAAAGGTACATTAAATTTTAGATGGTTTTCTTAAGAACCACATGTTCCTTTCCATAATCACGGTAAACAAGTATATTGGCTTGTTTACTGATAAAATCAACAAAAGCAACATTGATTTCTCAATGGTAACCTCATCATGGTGGACATTTATTTTGTCCTCCTATATAGCACCAAATTTTTTTCCACTGTAGCATTTGCCTAAGAAAATTGGTGGCTTTGTTCCTTAAAGCAATCATCTTGGCCTGTTGAAGAACAGAAAACAAATAGTAGTCAGTAAATGGTCAATTCTCATAATGAAGGGGCATAAACAAAGAGATGTGTGCAGAGCTCAGTGCTAGCAAAAGAAACATTGAAAAAGGCCTAGATTTGGCTTGGGAAAAACTTCTCGGGGGCTGGGGGTGACTGCTCCATTCTATGACCCTGCTTTCCTTCCTAGTTATGTGCCCCATAGTACTGAATGTGGAGTTCCCCCTCTGCTGCCCAGTATTCATGAATACACTACCACAGCACACAGGGAGATCATAAACAAACACACAACATGCTACTTACACAAAAGAAAATAAACCTTCTATGGTCATTGCTGCTAAAGGGGTTAGAAAGAATTTTCTCTGCAGACTTTTATTATATATCAACTTACAATGGCTCATTTAGTGACCGTTCAAAGTTACATCATTGAAAAAAGTGACATGTCCATTTTTCACACTTACAACCGCTGTAGCTTCCCCATGGTAACATGACTTACATTTGAACGCTGGACAACTGACTCACATTTATGACAGTTGCAGTATCCCGGAGTCACATGATCCCCTTTTGCGACCTTCTGACAAGCAAAGTCAATGGGGAAACCATATTCACTTAACATCCACGTTATTAATGTAACAACTGCAGTGATTGACTTAACAAATGTGGCAAGCAAAGTCATAAAATGGGGCAAAACATTTACTTAACACATTTCTCACTTAACAACATAAATTTTGGGCTCAGTTATGGTCATAAGTTAAGGACTACTTGTATTAAACCATCTTGCTTCATTCCAAAACTCTTATAATGAAGATATTGCCATTTGAGGTATATAGAAAGGAGCTCAAGAGGATAAGTAAGATAGCTTTTACTATTCTATTTTACTTAGAAATATGAGCCAGTTTGATGTAGTGGTTAAGGTACAACACTAGACACTCAGAGACTGAGTTCTAGTCCCTCCTTAAGCACAAAATCAGGTAAGGGCCCTTGGGCCCTTGACTCTCGCTATACCCTAGGAAGGAAGCGATTGCAAACCACATATGAAAATGCTGCCAAAATTAGAGAGACTTGTTCAATGGCCAATGCCCAAGCAGTTGCCAGGAATCAGCACTGGCTAAAAGGCACTAAAAATGTATTTTTGAATAGTTTTTATAAAATATCTCTGACATCTACTAGTAAAGATATACTTGTGCATAGTTTTAAGTAAAAAAAAACAACAGCAAATAGAGTGGGATTTCCGCTCAAATAGTAGGGACCAAAATACACATTGAGCCGTGTTCATTTGTGAAGAGTCCTAAAATGGGGTTTTCAAACTTTTTTAGGGGGTTAATTAAAAAATAAATTCTTGATCAAAAGACAGAGCTCAAATGGTAAAAATGGGCAATGAAGTGAAACTTGTATACCTTATTATTTATTTATGAAACTTTATGTGTTAAACTTATTTGCATGTCACAAAATTGAAATCTCCAATTATTAGCTCTGAAATTTCCTCCTGATTTCCAATGTACAAAAATTATAATTTGAATTTTATAATTACTGTACTTTGGGAAGTTAATGTTTCAGCCAAGTAGGTCAGTGTTCTGTGCCTATGTGTTTTCTTTAAAAGATTGCTAGAAATGTCCTTTTTTTTTTCTCCTTCCTGGCCTAGTTCTGGAAAAATTGCCTCTATAGATCAGCTATTTGTATTTCAGATGAGAATTTCATTGGCAGCAATAGCAGATTTAAAATGCAAATAAAATTTGACAGCAATTTTTATTAATAGAGTAGGGAGAAAAGTTTAATTTTCTCATCCATCCTACTTACTTTATTTATTTATTTTATTGTATTATGTAAATCTATCTTTACATAACAAAATATAGTGTTAAAATTACATAATATTTAGTTTTGATTCTTTAAAGCAAAGAGGGTTGCTCTGAAATTGAGAAGGAGAGGGCTTATAAATTAAACAACTAATAATTCAGCAAATTGATATCCACCTGACTCCCCGTGAATTTACAGGTGCAGATACAATGTATGTTGCACTGCATGATCCAGAATATGTTTGAAGGCATATGTTTATCTGGAGAAAACGATAACCATCTTATGTTCATACACATACAAAGGCAAACTTTGTAAGATGGTGACTACCAGATATCTAAAAAATTTCCAACATTTGAGGTTCCCATTAATGTTCAGGTGTTTTCTCTCAGTTTGTAGCTGTTGCTTTCTGGGGCCTTTATGCAATTGACAGAGAACTAGTGTATCCTAAAGAGCTGGACGATGTTAATCCGGATTGGCTTAACCACACCATGGTAAGTATTTGAAGCTTAGGGTCTTCTTGTGGCACATGCAATTTGTTATGAATTAGATTATCAGCATTTTAAATGGCCAGTCGTATCTTGAGGACTGTCTGTATTCACATAGCCTTTTCAAAAGGAATGCTATAACTTGACAGGATCTTCTGTTTTCAGAAAAAATACCTTGAAAGTATTTTTCTTGCAATAATGCTGGAACAGAAAAGCAATAGCAATAAAACTCAGAACTATTTATTTTATTTATTTTATTTGCCAATTGTTTACAAGATAATAAGTATAAATGTATACATAGTTGTGAATACATGAAATGGGTACATATAAGAAAAATAAAAGAATAAGAGAAACAATAGGACAGGGACGGTAGGCACGTTGGTGCGCTTATGCACGCCCCCACTTGATAGTGCTTTACCGCCCTCTCTAAGCAGTTTACAGAATCAGCATATTGACCCAAACAATCTTGATCCTCATTTTGCTGACCTTGGAAAGATGGAAAGCTCAGTCAACTTTGAGCTGGTCACAATCGAACTCCAGGCTGTGAACAGAGTTTGCCTGCAATATTGCATTCTAACCCCTGTGCCACCATGACTTCTAGTGATCTGAAACCAGACTAAGAAGCAATACAACTGCTTTTCTTTCCATACATCATACTTTTATGTTCTCCTTTTGCTTTTTAGCACACTACTATCCTGCCGCTGCTTTTCATAGAGCTGGTTATATGTTCACATAAGTATCCTCCTAGATGGAAAGGAATATTGGGACTTGGCATCTTTTCAGCTGTATACCTATCATGGTAGGTGTTCATTGTTTGAGAAATGTATTTACATTTAAAACATTTTATTCATTTTGCTCAGATGTTTCTTTTGTATTACCTGGGAGGGAAGGAGGAAGGCAAGAAAAGAGAGAGGAGAGGAGAGAGGAGCAATTGTTTTTTCTGAACAACTGAATAATTCTTCCAGAATATTTAAAAACACTATATAAATTTGCAGGCAAAATTATAACAGTAATATATATGGTTTCACTGCCACTTATGTATCTATCATAAATCTAGTACCTCAATCTTTCATGGACTATGGAACCAGTAGCATTCAGATATTGCTGACTTCAACTCCAAGTAGCCCAAATCCATCTTTCACAACAGTAATGGAAATCTGGAAGTAGTAGTATCTGAAAGATAACAGATTCACCATTAGGAAGCAGTCATTGTCAAGCATTTTGTCTCCTAGGATTTAAATAGGAAAGTTAAGACCATTTCATTTTTCCTCATATAAACTGAACTTTTCAGAGGCCTAGCTTTGGAGATCACGTTATACTGTAGATTTTTAATTATCTTCAAGTTCGTGTAATATTAACTTTTGAACTTGTAAGTATTAGCCAACTGAAATATTTTCAGATAACCTCAAAATAGGTACAATATTTAATCTGTTTTGGCTTCTTGTATTTCATTATGATGTTTGTCTTGCTTTGTTTTAGGATAATTTGGATACATCATGTAGCAGGGATTTGGGCTTATCCAGTTTTAGGAGTGCTTGGCCTACTTGGAAAGGCAATATTTCTCTCTGTCGCTTTGGGCATAATGTTCATCTTCTATTTCCTTGGGGAGCACCTAACAAAATGGTTGTGGGGTAAATTATGCTTTTTTCCCTCTTTTTCTACATTTCCAGCGCCCTGTCTGCTTACACTTTTCCAGGATTTAATGTGTTCATGAGATAAGCATTTTTCAGTTTGTTTTTCATTAAGAAAGAATCTTGTACCAGTCATAATGATTACCAGTGCAATGCAAGGTACTGGTTATCATCTCTGTAGCCCTTCAAGATATAGGATCTGATTACTCAAGGGGCTGCCTGTCTTTTATAGTTGCTACCTGTCAGGGGTAGATCAGACTGGTGAAACTACTGGTTCGGTGATTTATGATTTGTGGTTCTGTGTCTGCTGCTCTTCAGAGCTACTGGTTCTACAGAGCCGGACAGAACTGGTAGAATCCCACCCTGCTACCTGTGCCATCTGGCAGTCAGCATGCTTTGGGCACCTTTGATTAAGTGAAGACATCTGACGGAACTCAGGAAATAGGCCTTCTCTGCCCTAGCAGTTGTCCTCTGCAATAACATCCTGTTAAAGTCTCTGCCTTAATCTTATTAGACAAGCTCTTAAGAGTTGCTCAAGACCAGTGATGGCAAGAGTTGCTCAAGACCAGTGATGGCAAGCCTTTTGGGCTCAAAGATGTGTCAAAGATGCAGAAAATGCCTATCTTGGCTCTGTTGGTATCTCTCTCACACACACACACACATACCCAAAGAAAAGAGAAACAATTCTCTATCACCCCTCTATCACCTAGATCAGGGGTGTCAAACTTGATTGAGGACTGCATCATGGTTATGTTTGACCTTAGGCGGCTGGCCGTGGTCAGGGTGGGCATGGCCAGCTCGACATCACTCGTGTCAGGGTGCGCCTGTGGCGGCCCAAGCACTCTGCCCGCAAAAACGGGCTCCCAAACTCCATTTTTAACTGCGACAGCCTCCTGCAACCCTCTGCCAGCGATACGGAACTCAGGAGGACCGCAGGCAGCTCTCCCAGGCTCCATTTTCGCTGGCAGAGGCACTGCAAGTGTTTGCTGTTTCCAGGACAACTCCACAGGCCAGATCTAAGCACCCCGCAGGCCGCATCAGGCCCCCAGGCCTTGAGTTTGACCTACATCACTCTGAACAACACCACTCAATGGCAGTGTCAAGGCTGGCCTGAAATAATTTCTAAAGGGTCTGGAGGCTACATGAGGGTGCACACCATTCTCATGTGACCTCCGCAGCCTCTGAAAATCGAGAATGGTGCGTGCTTTCAAAAATAGTTGTTGGGCGTTAGTGCATGCTGGCATGTCACCAAAACGTCAGTTTTGTCACCTTTCACAGGTGTGCCATAGGTTTGCCATCACTGTCCTAAACCTTGGACTAGAATGAGTGGCAGACCCCTTGTGATTGATTGCATGGTCGTTTCTCCAGACACTCCTTTTATACTATTGCATTTAATGTAACTTCTTTTAAATTGTGCATATTGTACACCACCAAAAGTTCATAATTGATCTGGGTGCCTTATTCATTTAATAACGTTTTTAAAAATAAAAAGGGATGGACTTTCAGCTACCTGAATATGAAGTAGTTCGGCTAACACCCCCTCTTCAATTACACAGATTTCACTTTCCTGGCTCTCTCAAAATCAACCTAAATTCAGTGTGCACTACTAGGACCTTGGAGAAGACCACATGCTTACCTAACTGTTAATGGTGCAACAGGTGGCTATCACGGAAAGAGTCCCCTTCTCTGAAGGGCTTTCTTTGGAGAGACCCCTTAGCATCCTCAGTGAATGTACTTAGAGGCCAGGCTTCCTTTTCTGGTAGGCATTTAATTTTTTAATATTTTCACTAGTTTATGTAAATATTTGTGAAATAGAAAAGAACCCTGGTTATCATGAGCAGCTGAGCCCAATGCAGTAGTCCTTGTGTAATTCAGCAATTGGAAGAAGGAAAGTTTTGGCCATAAATTTGTAGGGATTTCTTCCATATATAAAGGGAAACAAGTCGGGAGGTCTTTCTATCCATGCCACAGTGACATAAATTACTATGCTAAGTTTATTTTATTTATTTATTTGTCAATTTTGAAAGTTTGCAGAATAGCCAAATAGTTTTAACATTCTGTTTATCTTTTATTCCCCTACAGCAAGGCGTAGAAAGAAGTGCATGTAGAGAAGACCCCGAGAAAGACATCAGTTCATTAAAAGGGCAAGCTCACTCAATGGAATACAGTGCAACTTGAACCTAGAAAACATTATTGATTGTAACTGGTTCTTACTGTTTACAGGGGAAAAAATAACATTTTCTCAATCTCCTCATTTGGAGCAGAAGGGAAGAATCTTGGGTCTTCCAGATGTTGTTGATCCACAGTTCCCAGCAATGCCAGTTACTGTGGCTTCAAGAAAGGGGAATTGTTTTAATCAACAGCAGTTTGGAAGGCCACAAGCTCCCGATTCATACAGTAAAAAGCCATGGCAAAAGCTGGATCCTAAAGTGGGTCAGACAGGCAAGTACAGGTAGTCCTCGACTTACAACAGTTCACTTAGTGACCATTCAAAGTTACAACAGCACTGAAAAAAGAAGACTTCTGGCCGTTTTTCACACTTATGACCTTTGTAGCAATCCCCCCCCCCCCCCCCGATGATCGTGTGATCAAAATTCAGATGGGTGGCAACTGGTTCATACTTACGACCGTTGCAGTGTTCCAGGGTCGTGTGATTCCTTTTGTAACCTTTTGACAAGCCAAGTCAGTGGGGAAGCCAGATTCACTTAACTTAAGTGTTACTGATTTATCAACTGCAGAGATTCACTCGACAACTGTGGCAAGAAATGTTGTAAAATGGGGCAAAACTCATGTAACAAATGTCTCACTTAACAACAGAAATGTTGGGCTCGGTAAAGAGCTTAGAAAACTTTAGTGCCTATCTGACACCCTTTAGGATCCAGCTTCTTCCCTGGCCATTGGCTGCCTGTTTCTGCTTTTTCTTCAGGTCCTGAATGCTGGAGAAAGATTTTCTTTGCTTGCTTGCTTCCTTTCCTCTTCTATTCAGCACCGGGGTCAAGATAAATAACTTACAGGTTTTGTCACCCTCTTTCCAGGCATTCAGTAATACAGCAAATGAAGTTTTAAAAAAAGATAGAGAGCTGTTTTTGCTTAAAGGATAGAGATTGGAGAGCAGAGGGTTAAGGTTGGGGTTAGGGTTATCATTAGGATTATCATGACTATGAGATCATGTCACCACTAGTTCTTTGCTGCATTAGACTAGAGATAACCTAGTTCCTGCAACTGTTCGTCCACTTTATTTTACAGTCCCCTAATCATCTTTGTTGCTCTTCTCTGCACTCTTTCTAGAATCTTGACAACTTATTTGGGACAATGGTGACCAAACTAGACACAGTATTCCAAGCATAGACTTACCAGTGCAGTATAAAGTGATTCTAACACTTCACATGATCTTGATATCATCCCTCTGTTTATTCAGCCTAGGACTGCATTGGCTTTTTTGACACCTGCAGCACACTGCTGGCTCATACTTAAGTAGATGTCCAACAGGACATATAGATTCTTCTTTGCCTATACAAGTCTATATTCTGATATAGCCAAATATGGATGGCTATTTTGACTTGTTCTCCTAATCGGTCTTTTGCAGTACTGTTTTTGTTAGACTGGACTTTTTTTTCTCTAAGATTGTCAGGATTTTGGAGAAGTTCTACAGAGCAACCCATGTTTTATTTGTTATTAAAACTATTTAGACTTACTGTCAGAATTAATCTAGAGTGTAATTTTCAAATGTCAGGATTAGCAAACAGTCATAATATTTTCAATTTACATCTTGAAAAACAAAATGCTTATGAAAATTCCTTTGGTGCAATATATATAGAGCTTTCTATTAGTTTATTTCCAAAAGGGGTAAGAGGGAAGTGCTGTGTTAAGTACAGCCACACCACATGTTTAATGACATGTTTACTGCCTCTATTTTGTTCCATTATGTTAGTTCTTGAATACTGAAACAATTTACTTCTCCAGCATGCCATTTATTGTCATGGTGTCCATTATTGTTTTTAGCCATTTTCAGACATGATTTCCTTCATGTACAAAGCAGATGAAAACTAATTAAAAGCCCATTTCTTTAAAAAAACATGTTGGTTAAATATACTCTTTAATAACAAAAAGTGCATAAAATATTGGATATTGTTGTTCTTAACACTTAGAAACCTGACACCTTTTTCCTTAATGTCATGTTTAATCATTTTCAGACTTGGCAACTTTAAGATGCTGACTGGGAAATTCTGGGAGTTGAAGCACACACATCTTAAAGTTGCCAAGTAATTTTGATTAAAGAGCCCACAGATACTGTAGATATTGAAAGTCTACACACCACTGTTAAAATGCCAGGTTTTTGAGATGTAAAAAAAATCATACCAAGATAAATTATTTCAGAATTTATCCACCTTTAATATAACATAAAAGCTGTTCAATGTATTTATTGTTAAATTTATTTGCTACCTATCTTACTATGGGGCTACATTGTGCAACAAACTGAAATCTTTTAGGGGGATAAAAGTAACAATAAAAATGTACAATAATGTGGTTGCATAAGTGTGCATATCCTAAAACTAATGGAATGGGAATGAGAATGGGGATGGGATGGGATGGGATGGGATAGAACAGAACAGAACAGAATAGGAAAGAATAGAATAGAGAGAAGGAATAGAATAGAATAGAATAGAATAGAATAGAATAGAATAGAATA